TATTAATTTCTGTTAAAATCATAATAACAAAATATACGGTGTGTAGAAAATGTGGATTGTGTTCATTGGACACCTAATGTTGGTATGCTTCAACGAAAGCTCTGAAATCTGTAAGAGCGAACTGCGACATCTTATAGAATTTATTATTTTTGATAAGAAAAATATAAAGAGTCACTTTTTATTTCGAAACAGAATCAATTCATTCTAAACACTGTTGAACTACAAACAAATGTTGAGAGCTTCTGCTCAAAGCTTACCATATACAAAAATATAATTCTATAAGATGTCGCAGTTCGCTCTTACACATTTAAGCTTCATCAAGCTACAAATATAAATTTTTAGTGCTTCTCAATTTTAATGAATGTAAAGCTTACTCTTTTGTATACCAGGTTATTAAGCATGTATTTATCTCAATCATACTCTGCAGCAGTTTATCGTTGCCTATTAGATTATAGGGAATATACCAACTATTAGGATCTAGTTAGTCCAATAGGCCATTTCGATATTATTACAAACGCTCCGGTAACGGGACGATATTATGTAGTGTAATCCTTTACCGTTCTGATTTGCGACTAATCGTTTTTTTTAACAATTTCTCTCCCCAGATTGTTATTCTGTTTTAGCATGTAAATTGTAATTCATGCAACATCTGTTAAGTATGGAAAATACAAGTTTTGGTGTCATTCTAGACATTCTTCTAAATTGACTTTGGATCACTTACGGAGTCCTATTTTATGACCGCTCAACGAGCTTAGGAAGTAAAGTGTTATTGTATAATAATACAACGCACAAAAATCTAATAATTCTAATTCCAAATAAAGAATATTCGATTTGGCCTAAATATTTAATAGTCACCTAATTCTAGTTTTCTAGATCAACACATTTCAGATGCGAAAGAAGTGTTGAAAGGAAGACAATTATGGGTTCCAATCTTTAAATGGGACTAATCTACCCAATTAAATTCAAAAGATTACCAAAATCAAAAGAAAATGATATTATAATAGCAACGATTTTCATTTGCTCAGTTTCAACACCTTTGAAAATAAGTGATAACTTAATAAGTTAAGTTTTTTTAATAACCCTGTCAAAACTCCTTATCACATTTACATGCTTTTTTATATAAACTTCTTACCTCTTTTTGGGATGTAAAGAAATTACTTTTCAGTCCAATCAGAAGCTGACAGTGCAGGAGTCTTAGTTGTGCATCAGACACAGACTTAAAGCTTTGTTATATAAAATTGAATCAGACAATAATCACTTCATATCCATACATAGTATCTATAAACTTTTTAAAAATGTGCAACAAATAAAAAAAATTTGTGGAAACCATCGATGCAAATTATTTCTTATATGAGGCAGTTAACGGTTTTTTTCCACAAAAAAAATCACATATTTTTGCACTACGCACATTGTTTATTTCGATTTAATAATTAAAATAATCATACACAGAACTTGTAAATATTAATCCGGACTTTTGAAGAAAATATAATAACAAATTGGAAACTTACAATTGAAAAAAAAAACGTTCGCACTAATTTTATTAAGAATGTTCAAATTTTAAATGTCTACATTTATAAAACCAACAATAACAATTTCAAATATATATTTATCTCACTCTCTCTTCTAAAAGTACATACAAAAAATTTGAAATCAAAACGAAATATGTTTATCTCTTCTATTTATTGAAATGTGTTCAAAAATATTGCAAGATATATAATTTTTTTAATCCATGGAAAATTATTATACATCCAAACTTTGTATGTTTAAATGTATGAAATAAATTATCTGCATTTTCTCTTTTATATACAAACGAAATTTACTTTTTTGCTTATTTCATGTTTAAATTAATGAAATAAATTATCTGCACAAAAACAAAAAAAATTTGCTTTGCTTCTACTAGTTTAAAAATAATATCAACTATGTCCTTAGAAAATATATTTGAGTTACATCAATTCTTTATATTTTACTTTTTCTTAATTTAATAACATGAACTGCTTTACAAAACTTGTATTGTGGTTTACATTATTAAGAAAGTAAAAATACAAATACAAACATTTTATAAATATTTAAAACATTTTTAACTGTTATGTAACTATGATTAACAAAATTAACGTTTTAACTTTGTCTTTTAAAAATTAAATTAAAATTAAAAATCTAAAAACCTTGTCTTTGGTTATTATAATAAATTGATCATTTTTTAAATTTAAAAGTCACGAAAAACATGTTTTCTTAAGCAGTTTTTTCGCTTCTGTTATGTTAATAATTGTACTAATATATGAAATATACAAGCATGTAAATGTAATTATATTAAATGACGAGATCTTGATACGTTTCATAGCAGAGCCAAACACGATGATGTATGAGAATGTTTTATAAGACATCCTATAATGCATAGTTCAATCAGTTTTATTTATTGCAATTAATGAAAAAATTGCAGTTAACCAAAATAGCTGTTTAAAATAGCCAATTTAACTAATTACAATTAACGAACACGATAATGTTGTTTTGCTTTTATTTCGGAAAGTTAACAAAAATTGTTTTAAAAGTATATTTATTTGAGATAATGAAGGACAAGAAAACTATGACATTATTTCACAAACCTTTAAGTAGTTAATCAAAAAGACATTTAGGTATTATAAATTATATGAAAGCAAACAGCAAATACTTAAATTTAAAAAGAAAATAATTCGTTCGATGTAACTATTATTAACAAAATTAAAGTCAAAATTAAAACGTAAACAAATATGCAACTGTCAAAACAGCTGTTCATATTTTAAAGGTCCGATTAATACTTTCATTGAGCATTGACAGCGTGTGATTCTTATAAAATTCATGTGAGACCCTATATATTAATAAAAATAATTCAGTATTGCTATAAACCGACAACAGCAATTGCATAGAATTTATTGCCACTTATATTTCAGTTAATGCTATATATTGAAATGAAGGCCATTGAAATGAAGACATAAACCATTTTCATAAACGTTTGCTTACACATATGTTATAATAATTTAGAATCTTATTACAAAAATTTTATAATACAGTCAAACTTTCATAACTCGAAATATAATTTTGCAGAGAAAAACTTCGACTTATGTAGAATTTTTTTGTTATTGCATGTAATTTGCTTTCTGAACCCTGTTGCACTCTGTTTGGTTCGAGTTATGAAGTTCCGACTGTATTACACTGCACTAATTTTTTTATAGCTCATCCAAAAACATAAAAACATATTCGATTTATTTACAATCAAAAATTTACAATTAGTTGTTTCATTAAATTACTCTTTTAAAAACTAATTACCAATTTAATTATAAATTGGTAAGTAGTTCTACAACATATGCATCGAACACACTAAATATCCCCACTGTATTAATTTCATATTATAACACTGCGCTTCAACGTCGTATGAGTACTGGCGGCGCAAGTACAAACTGTCAATTATATGCCTTTTTCAGTTCTTAAAATCTGCTGCTTTTTCATACATACATTTCCAGTTCATTAGCACATGAACACTGGTTAAGTGCTATTGCATTTGCAATGCTAGTATGGAAATTTGTATGAAATGTGAAAAGAGAATTGTATAAAAAGTTTGTATTAATTTAAAAAATTAATTGCAATTTTGTGTTATATTTTTAATAGATTCTCGTATTTCAAGTGAATTTATTTTATTAAAGTGTATTTTAATTTAATATGTTTTGAGCGATCTATGCTTTTTTACTATTTCCATTATTTCAACAAAGCCGTTTTCCCATAACAAAAAAAATTCCAAAAAAAAATCCTGCAAATACAGGAAAAGTATTAATAATGAGTATAACCAATAATAAGTTTTTGTGTGCATTTAAATAATTATATTTAAAACAAAAAAATAATATTTGGAATATATAAAACGTGGAAAGAACGCCGCCATTGAGGCTCCAACAGCTGCTGTTTGCTACTGGAACGTGTACAACAGCAATAAATAATTGTTTAATTTAATATACAATTACAGCTTTCTAATCCCAACCGTAAGTATTTTATTTTGTCATTTACCATTTCTTCAAAAATTTTTATTTCTAAATGGAATTATTGCACATTGGTTGCGTTGCCTGAACCTCCTCCTGCTGTTCTTGCTTTGTGTTCGCAACGCATGACGAATTGATAAATTGATTTTTCCCTTTATTTTTAAGCTTTTAAATTTAAAATAAATAAGTTGGGAATATGCAATAAAGTGTAAACTAATGGATGTATTTTATTTATATGTTTATATGATGCTTAAAATTCTAATATATTTTCGAACGAAATGTTATTTATTCTAACTAGCATATTTGTATGGAAAGTTAGAAAAAATTTATACCTGCCATTAGAAGTATTTAAAAAAAATAATAATTTGCTTAAAATTTAATATCAATTTTGATGTGTTTAATATAATAATTAGAAAACATTTGCGTAATATTAAAGATATGAGGAGTTTTTACATATCTCGCATTAGTTTTGTATTTAACTTATTTAACCAATTTGTTTTCTAATATAATTTTTAAGGCAATAATTTAAACAAAACTAGTAATAACTCCTTATATTTTTCTTAAAATAATATTAACAAGAATTAATAAGCATTTTAGTAAAATCAAGCTCAAGACTTTTGGCTACAAACGGTTACGGCTTCTATCCCACTCGCATTGTTGTTGTTAGTTATACCATTTACAGGTTTCATACATCCGATATGTGGTTCCGGTCTTTAACAGCAAATATTGTGTAAAATAATAAAACATACACACATACAAATGTATGACAAAGTGTATAAATATAGGAAAGTAAAAAAAAATTACAACTACAGCAACAACAACAACAACAACAACACAACTAAAATGAAAACATTTCCGCCTTGAAGTGTGCCCTAAAAGTCAGCGACAATCTCACCGTCATAGAGGCAAACATTAAGAGCCATACAGACAAACAAACATACAGACAGACACAAACAAATATAACAACAGTTACAATTATATTTTATTTTATATTAAAAATACGTTTAAGAATACACAAATCCAAAATAGACAACAACAACAACACAACAGCAGCATAAACAACAAAACTATGTAGCACAGCATTGCTGGCTCTTGCACAATTTCTTGCATACTTGCAACCAAAGATTCTCCTACTCGTTATGGTTTAAGTTGCTGCTGCTGCACTAAAGTAATTTGCTCGTAAAGCTAAGCACTGCTAAAGATTTATATATGTATGTGCAAGGGGTTAACGGGAGGAATGTGTGTATAAGCACCTATTCCGTACTTGGCTGCTTGAGCAGGTATTCTTGATCTAGCATAAGTGCATGTGTGTAGTTTAGATATTCTGTAAGTGTTTTTCTTTCTGTTATTGCTACTAAAATTATTATTCTTAGCGTGTGTTTTTTTGCTTTTATTATTATTTTTTTTTAGCTAAAAAACTTATTGAGCGCATTATAGAAAATATTATATATACGTGTGATTATCGTGCTTATTTATTTGTATACATATATGTAGTTATGCTATTTGTACGTCATTTAGGATTTTCTTTTTTTTATATTTTAATTTGCAATTCACAATTTATAGTGTTGCCAAATACATAAAATATTTATACAATCTTAAGAGCGTTATGCTATGTTCAGACAGTCAAATTTGCTTAATTTTGTAAAAATGAAATTAAGTTAAATCGAAAGTGTTCATACTGCCCCAAATTAAGGTAATCATATGTTTTTCGTTTACAAGTCAAATGTTAAAAATTTTCCCATTTTCTCAATTTTATCGTTTGCTTGAAATTTATCTTACGCATAGTTGCATAGTCCCTTAATTTTAGCCTTTGTTTCAACGAAATTAAGGTCCTTTTTTCTTAATTTCGTTCTAACTTTAAAATTGAATTTTGTATGGAAAAAAACTACTTAATTTTGCTGAAACGAAAATAAAATTAAGATTTTTGCGAAATTAAAGTGTATCTGAACATAGTATTATATTATTATTGAATAAATTGCACACATTAATTTGACTATAATCAATTTCTAATGTGATTAGTTCTGCACTGGTGGGGCAAAATAGTTCTAATAAATTAAAAATGCGATACATTATTCATGTGATGAGTCGTTACCAGACTCTTTGCTTAGTGAACGAATGTAGCTATTTCCAATACTGTTAAGGATGTAGATGTCGCTACAAGTTAATCAAGATTTGTTCCATTTGAAAATAATACCAACTTAATTAGTGCTAATAAACCGCATAACGCATAGGGAAACCAAACCCGATGTAGAATTGTGCTGGAAAACAGTATAAATATAATATATTCTTACTGATAAAATAACGTGTAAGTTTAATTTTTTTCAGGTTACCGACCATTTTTGTCTCTATTCTTTCTCTCAACTGTGAAACAGAAAACTGTTATTTCATTTTATAAATCAGAACCACAGCACATATTTGTTATAGTTTTTTGAGAGTGAATAATGTAATAATCTAAGTTCTCAAAAATTCTACGTTTATCTGTAAAGAAAAATTTTATTATCCGTTTTCTTGAAATCAATATTTTCAAACAGTTTTAGTATTGACTTCACAACACTCGTGTCATCCAAGTTGTTAGGGCAAGTGTGATTGTACATATATTACTATTGTAATTAGTAGACGTACTATTACATCTATTTCGGTTTATCTCTATAAACATAAAGGGTTTAATTTTATTTGTAATAAAAAATATATATAAAGTTATGTAGCATATGTCCTTTTTCAAAAAATTTGAATGTATCAATTATGGGTACAAGTTTTTGAAAAACAAAGAATTAATTAATTAATTAATTAAGTTGCGAATCAGAATAAGTTTCACACAAAAACAAAGACTAAAAAATTAACTCAAAATAATGAGAAAATATGGCGGCGAGTCGTATAAAAACACAATTTAAAAAAAGGAATTGCTGTTCGTTTTTCATATATGTTTCAATGTTAGCTGTGACAATATGGTAAAAATCTTACACCATTAACTGGTGTTTTGTCTGCAGTTTTACCCATACCGTATATAAGTTCCTGAATGACCAACACATTTGAAGCAGTTAATAATAATCTGCCTTTGGCCAGTAAGGACAACTGTTTTCTAAATGTATGGGCTCACACTGTGCTTACACAAATTTTATTTTTATTTTTTAATTTTATTTTAACTATAATATTTATAAATCATAATTTAAAATCAAAACTTATTAAAAGTAATAGAAGTATAGAAGTATTATGTGTGTGTGACGTAGTTCACTAATCAGTAAAGTGATAAATGTCCCACATTTTAATACTTTCTCGGTAAAGTTATAATATTGAGCTGTCAAAGCAGATTTGTTTTCTTAACATACATAAAAACAAGGAAATGACGAGAAAAAGTGGAAAAAGCAATATTAAAATTAAAGTAAAAGCTCTATTCTTTAAACTCTTAAAATAAATTTTTGAGTTATTCAACTAATATCAAAAAAAAAAAACAATACATACAATTTTTTTTTTAACAACTAACTAAGCACGCCTGAAACCCCTTGTTTTTTTCTCTTCCTTAAATAATTACAACTCTTATAAATTAAAACATTCGAATAGAATAGAAATATATATAGGGTCTCCATCTTTTGTGCTTCTATCCAACTCTAACTAAACAAACGACACTCTGCTTTTCGAATGAAACCCAAAATGTCAGCTGTTGAGGACATCTTCACATTAGTCGGGAATAGACCAAGAGTAATCTCTTACTGATCAAGATCAAGGTGGGACAGTGATTCCACCTTGGAGACTCCACGTCTCCAAGCAGAGCCAACATTCTGTTTCTTTAGATACACCTGTTTTATTAAAATGATAACTCTTTACAAGAAATTAATAAACTGATTGCTGCTGGACTATCTGTATATTACAAATATGTGGGTTTTTCAATGCTTTAGCACTTTCAGATATTTCAAAGATTATCTGAGAAAGTATCACGTTGTTTTTACATGTCAGTTGCTGTGATATATCACAGTAGTCTACCAAATGTCTAATCGAAAACCTTACAGAGACTAATAACTTAATTGTTGCTTATCTATCTGTGTAGATACAAATAATTTGGGTACATTTTAACCATTTAATTCTTTCGAATATGCAGTTATTTGAATCTAATTTTGTTACTCATTGAATGTTCACTGTTCACAAGTTCTAAATTCAAATAAGTTGCAAATAAGTTAATGATCAACAAAATAAAATCATAAATGGGGAATCGTCATACTCGTTTTTTCTTTTACGTTTGTAAAAAATAAAAAACATTTCTTCTACTTTTCAAATCGATATTCCAAGAACAAAATTATATCGACAAAATGGTGACCTTTCACGATTTGTGCCGTCAAATCGTAATCATACGAAATATATTTAAAAATGTTTAATATAGAAATAAATTAATTGTTAAAAATAAAATTTTTAAAGTCTCAATAATTTGGAATTAAATCAAATAAAATATTTGAAAAGATTGGCAACTCTCTTTTATGCCGGCATCAATCACTTATCATTCCTTCATTTCTAATTATTACTTATTGTTACTTATTTATTATTTATGTATTTAAATATGTTTAATATAGAAATAAATTAATTGTTAAAAACAAAATTTTAATAGTGTCAATAAGTTGAAATTGAATCAAATAAAATATTTAAAACGATTGGCAACTCTCTTTTATGCCGGCACCAATCACCCATTCATTCATTCATTTCTATTTATTACATTTTTACTTATTAGTTTTGTTGCTGTGTTCTCATTCTTGTGGTTGTTGTTGTTGTAGTTGTATTATGTGTTTTCAATTACTGCTGCACAACGTACAAGTATTTGTCTGCCACTGATAATATGAATCATAGCTGACTGACTGGCTTATGCCTTAAGAATTTTACATGCTCTGCTCGTATTTGCCCTGCCCCTGGCAAGTTCAATGCGTTCATTCTTGTCTTTAGTTTTGTTTAGTTTTTTTTTTTACTTTGCATTTTACATTGCATTCAAATTTTTACTGATTAGAGGGTATACATGTACGTACATATAAATGTGTGCATTTATTAATAAAATTAATCATAATTATTTCACTGTTATTTTTTGTGTTAAATGAATAATTACACAAATTGTTAACATACATAATAAAAAAAAGTATTATTTGTTATCCGCTTGTGTTCCGCTAAACAGCCAACCCGCCTATTTTTCAACTTTGCTGCCACTTCCTTCTTAGCTTTCTTATCGGCACCAGTGCAAAGTTAAGCGGTAAGCGTAAAGTGCTCACATTTATTTTCTTTGCTCTCGTCTCCTCTCCTCGTATGTTTGCTTAGTTTTCTACATTTAAGTGTGCTTCTTCAAAAATTTTATTTTTATCAGAAGTAGAACGATTATTAGAAGAAATAATTTTTGAAAAATTATTAAGAGAGGCAATTGTGCGGACGGTGGGCATTATCGCAGGCCAGCAATGTGACAGTGACACTCAAAAGCCGGCGCGGTCTATAACATCGATTTTACTTGACCGGTGTGTGATTTTTAAGCAGCCGCAAATCTACGAGTAAACATAGTACCAATTCTATAAGTCTGTTTGTGTTTGGATGTCCATACATTTTTTTTAAAAGCACACCACATACAAGTACATATACATGAGTACATAAATAAATATTTATTTGATTTATTTTGATGTGTTTTTCTAAAGACTTTTTTATAGAAGAAAAAATTATTTTATTAAAACTGATTTGTGTGGGTTGTGTACGTTACTTATGTCAGAAGTGCTTAATTTATTTAATTAATTCCACAGAAAAAACTATACATAAATGAAATATAAAATATGTTATATATAATGCATATGTTTTTTTATTATCTAATCAATTATGTAGAACAAGTTCGTGCAGTGACCGCATCAAATCATATCTGGATGTGGGCCTGCATAAAGATATTCTCTGATGCGAGTTGCCAATAAATGTTTGCAAAAAAATATTTAATATACTGTAAATGTACATATGATCGTTTAGAAGACTGAATTGTAAAAACATAAATTTAAAATTCTATGAACTTATCCTTAACTATAACATCACAAGAAAACGTTGACTTTGATTTTATGATATCATTTTTCTATATTAAACATATATTCTTTTATAGAAGTTTAAAAAAATATATAACAGTCATATCCATTCATACTGATGTTAAAGTTAACGTATAATTGCTGACTTCCCATTGGTTCAAGAGTACAGCTACGGGTCTGCATACACAGAATTATGGCTTAAGGATTAATTTTTATGTGTCAGTTTTCTTAAAGTGTCAGCTTAAGGTCACACTAAATGAATTATGCAGATTCAACTTTTTCAACCATCAAGAGATTGGACAACTAATTGTTAAAAATTATTTAAACTGCGCTAAAAATGTTGTAAAATCCAGTGTAATAGACACAATGTCAATTTCCTTGTCAAGCCCATTTGACAACAGATTAAAGTAGTCATTTATTTCCAGTAACATTTTTCACTAATTCGACTATATGCCAATATTGCTTATTTTTCCAAAATATTGATGTCTAAATTTGTAATTTGTTTGTGTAATGAACGAGTATAGTTGTTATTGTCGGTTTTATGTAAATTTTTCAACTTTATAGCTCGATTCCCAATAGAAATATGTTTTGTAGTAGATTTACTTACAGGTCATTGTATTTTAGGTAACCATGCTAGGAGACTGAATCTCCCTTTCAACCATACCTGCCGCAGTTGCAAAGAGCACGTTGTAAGTGCCTCCCATCTGCTTTACTTCTGTCCAAAACATGCGCGGCGCAGCCTTATCGCTGTAAGGGCTTTCTTTTGGGGATCTTGGCGAACCGCAAGACCCCTTTGAATAGTTTAGCCAAAGGTTCTAAGTGGTGCTAATCTTGAGTTTCTTCCAACAAAGTTTTAAATTAGTGTACATGAGGTATTTCACGACGTAGTCAATTCCTATATCTCAAAGTATGTTATAACTGTTATTTTGATATACCTACTATGAACCGTTTTGGATGATCATTATTTTCTGACAATCGTTTTTGTTCACATTAAATAAGATATACCAGCTTGGAAACATTCTGTGAATGCATCTGTAGTATATGCTCTTGAGATGTATTTGTGGCATTGATCACTATTATATCTGAAGAAAAGTACGTGGTAGATGAGGGATTGTAAAAAATTGGTACATTCTGTGAGACTATACGAATACATATATTCAAATATATGTTTTTTTGTATTAATATTTGTCGTAAAATCAGCATTTCCTAATACATAGTTGTATGATGCATTGTTAATTCTGTGAACTTTAAAAAAATAAACGTTATTCTTCAAAATTAGTCAACAAATATATAATGAAAACGTTGAAGGTGACAACTTAGTAAAACACAAAGTTTTTATTATTTCAGCTCTCTATAATTAAATATTGTTTTATTAATGTTTTAATTTTATATTTTATCAATATGTTCTTGTTATTATCACACGAATAAGTCATTCAGAATGCGATCGAATTTTAAACCGTTCCTCATATAAGAATATATACTTTATAAATATATATAATATGTATATATGCGCTTTAATAAGATAAGAGGTTGACTATAAAATACTTTTGTAGCCTATATGATAAAATAAGCAATAATTTTGCAAAAATTCGTAATTACGTCACGCCGATGTGTCAATTAAGAAATATAATAGTAATAAATAAAAAATAGAACGGAAGAAAATGTATTGTATTTTTCGTGTAATAATTTAATAAATAGTTGTGAATTATTTTCCGTGATTGCACTTTGTTGTTATTGTACATATGTAGTTGCACACATACTTTCTAAATTTTTTATTTATTTCTTTCGAACATATTTTATTAAAAGTTTTTCTTTCTTTACTGCAGCAGCTACAGCGTAACTTTAAAAATTTTCCCAATCACACTGCAAACACACACTCAATACCCTGGAAAAATGTCGAGTGAAGAAGACAAACCTCCAGCTCCACCAGTGCGTTTAACAAGCAATCAACGTACCGATAGAGGTGGTTTCAATACAGGATCTGGAGATGGACCACCGGTTGATATGCGTCCTTTACCTAAGGGTACCTATTAGATTTTTTACTTAATTATTTACACATATGTTATATCTATTTATAGAGCCAGAGGATTCGGATCGAAAGAAAAAGACATTAAAAAATAAAATAAAAGGCTCCAAACCTTCGCACACAGATTCCAAACCTAATATATCCTATCCAACCAATTTCGAACACACGGTTCACGTTGGTTTTGATGCTATAACAGGAGAGTTTACGGTAAGAATTTTATTTAAATTATATACATAGTTTTTAAATTTAATATAATAATATTTTAAGTAGTTTTGATTTTCTACATATGTATATATATAATATATATGTTTTTCTTATTTTGCATACTTTTGTAAATAAATTTATTTGAGCTTTTTCAAATGGTATGTCGTAAAATGTCAAACTATTGATATATCGTTTTATTTGTGATTCCTTTTTAAGTTTGCTGAAATAATATTCTTTATTTTTATTTCCATTTAATTTGAAATGTAAACTTTCATTTTAAACAAATATTTTATCTCATGCATTCCAAATGTGACACTTACATTTTATACTAAATATAAACTATATAATCTTTTATATCTAAGTATAAATATTTGTTATCTCTTATTTAAACTTTTCTCTTATATTATTTAAAACATCAAAAGTAATTTATTAGACGCATTTTATAACTTACCTCTTGTAAAAACATTTTTTGTACTAAAATATCTTTTTTTTCTAATCTAACACATATTGATTTATACAAATACTCTTTATCAAAGCGATATTTATCAAAAATTACAAGGACACTGCAGCAAATTCCCTTTGTTTATTAAACTAAAGTAAAACATATTTTTTTATTTAAATTGGTCACTTTAATAATCTCTGTGATGTGTTATAAAATTCAATATAAATTATAGGTTGAAGCATACTGTGCAAAATAGTGTTCTAAGTGCATCTGTATTCACTATAGTATTGGAGTTTGACCAAAACACTATCGGATCGATGAGGCAGATTATTACTAGTAGTAGAAATAGTGGTTACTATTATACTGTATCTTGAGTTGGTAGTGGTTGAAAGCACCTGGTCATTTGTAAAGATGAGAATCTGAATAGTAAATAGTGCGCACCTAAGTGAAGTTCAGAAAGTATTAAAAGTCATAGCTTATCTGATTTTGCTATTTTACTCAAAATAAAAAAGAGGAATGTCAATAGCTTGCAGTCAAAGAAGTAAACACAGGAACTTGGTTATGTTGGAGTAACTGCTTTGTGCGCCAAAGATCATCTAATTACAAATAATGACTCATTGTAATACCACAGAAATAGTTCGTACATCAGACCTGAAGAACCACCCCAAAAATAGAAATCCCAAACATCTACGGAGTACTTTTTAGAAGGCGTGAGTTTCCATTCAAGTAAAAGGGAACTAATCTGATATATCTATAAGCTTGGCTATATTTCTAATTTTAAAAGATGACGGACCTGAGAGCCCAAAGTTTTTGAATCTTCATTTAGCCAGACACATGAAGTGAAACCTCTCATAAGCAAAATCACAACCCCGACAAAAGGCGTTAGAGGGTAGACCAAGTGTTATTGCTTTGTTCTTAGAACGCTGTGACTTATCAGCAGCGATTATGTAGTACTGAGGTATTGTCCCTTTAGTTGAAGCTGCTGACTGGTAAAGAATAAGTAAAATAATAGCAGAATAGTCTCCGCTTTAGATACCACTTGTCAAAATTTACAGAAGAGCAAACATAAGCCTTCTACAAGCAATGCTATGCACCAATGCCTGATGAATTAGGTCATTTAAGATAGCTATGTTATTGATAGCAGTGTAATCCAAATAGATATTAAATATGTATAAAGTCCATTGTTACACATCATATATTAATTATACTATTTAACTCAAAAAATGTCTTCCGCTCAGATATGAAAACAATTCTAGCTCTATATGCTTTAGAAAGTTCTTTACAGTGCCACTTCAAAACAGTTATTGTTAAAACTAATTCGTAGGTTAAATAATTTGTTTGATAGATCTTGATAGATATTAAGATTTAACTACTCTTTGTTAGTCTAACTCTAACTCAGAACGATTTCTTGGTAATACTCTCCGCATATGTGACTTATATTAACCAAATAGAATGAACATATTTTCCACGAAAAACGTCCTAGTGAAATTTGTAAGAAAATATCTATCTAAAAGCTTAAAATAATTAAATAAATTTTCTGGTATGTTTTGTTTATGTACTTATTCATCAAACTATTGGTTAGTCTCTAACGTGTTCAATTTTTAATCTATGCACACCAATTTAAGAACTCTTTCAATATGACATTTATTATGAAGCCTAATGCGAACTTTCTTTTCTCACTGTTGAAAAAATTTCGTATTAATTACATTTATTTATTTTGTAAATAATCTCATATATAATTATAAAGAGTTAGCACATATATGCAGTATAATCAATATTATATGATATAAGAAGGATTGGGTACTTCATTAAAAAAGATAAAATCGAACGTTTAAACTTTTATTGCAAACATCTATTTCACCCGATTACGGGTACGAATTTTTTCTTAAAATCATGATAGTTTTAGCTTTAAAATATTACTTATATCACTTTTATATATAAAAGTGTATACTCCTTCTTTTTCCATAATATTTATTATAAATTATATGGAAATTATATATATAAATAAAAAAAAAACCTAACTAATGTCCTTTGTTGCCATTGCTGTGGTTCTTTATTCTATAATTCATTAACATATTCCTTGTCTTTTTTTTTGTTTTTTTTTTGACAGTAGGTGGAAGCATCGAAAGCCACCGTGTAAGACTTGAACTTACTAAATCACCTCTTAGGAGTGATTTGCACATCATTGTGAAAACTTCAATCCAGTAATCAGGGGAGACAGGAGGAAAATAGACTTAGTACCTAGCGAGCCAAATTTATCTAAGCCAATAGCAAGGACGTACATTAGGGAAATTGAGTTATAGAGAAAGGGGTAGGTTAGAGCAGATGAGACAGACAGGTATTGGGCAGGTTTAAAGCGCAAGGCTAGAACAAGATCTTCAGGGGGGGGTTAATAGGAATAGAGACGTCAGGGGGTAGGTCATGGAGCCGGAGGATTTACCTACTAGCGAGCGTCAAAAGGCACTCGTCAATGCGAGTGATCTTGGCATTGTCGTAAAGGACAGAGATGGAAGAAGACTGCAAACCAAATAGGGAAGGCGTAGGTGAGTCGTGGGCGAATAAGTTGCTTATAGCAGAGCAGCTTAACTTTGCATCTAAGCTGGTTGTGTCTTCTAGTGTGTTTTTGAACTAAATATGTCTGAACCGGACCTTACGGATGGAATATTATTACTCCTTATTATATTAATTATAATAAAATAATTTTAAATCATATAAATTTTATTTTAATATAAATCCATACTTACTTACCTGTTTGATCATAAAAACCCAGGGGGAGGGGGCCGCAGGTTGTTATTAGATATAATAATCCATATCTAATTAAAAAATCTGTTTGTCTTATAGCAAGAAATCTATCTCGAATAGAAAATGGGTTAAGGGAATAGTGAAGAAATTTTAACAATTTTTATTTACATAAACTGAAATAAAATTCAGTTTATCCGAAAAATTAAAAAACCTTTTTATCCAAAAAGAGAGTGAGAGAGAGTAAACAGAGTTTTTAGTTTTTTTAATTATAATATACATATATAATAAACAATAAGTATTTTATTTTACATTCTTGATTTCGAACTCGTTTATATTATAACCGGAGGAAGAGAAGAATATTTTTATATAAAAGAGATATTTTTATTAGTTTGTACCACTAATAAGATATTATAGGGCTAGGCTAATAACTTTTTTAGTCAAGTGTACATAACTATTCTAATAATTGTTTTTCACTTTACTGTCACTCTTATTTTATAAACTCACAAAAACTAAAAATATCAATATTATTAAGTTGCTCACATATCTCGAAAAATGTAAATATATTTATGGTGTTTAAAGCAATTTTTTTATGAAAGTAACTATAAAATATCATACATTGGCACTAACTAATTAATTCATTTTCTTTTTTTTTTTGTTATTCATTGTATATATCCTTCAAAATATAAGATGACTAAAGTGGCCCTTTATGATGTTAAATGTGAATAAATCTTGATTCTATATTAAATTTAATCGTTTCTTGCAAGTTGAAATTAACATAGCACAATAATGTTGAAAAACAATAGTAGTTAAATAGTCATCACAACTATGTTTAAGGACATCATTAGAAACATCATGATAAAAATATTCAGTTATAGCTATCAATTTTACGAATAGGTTTTCGAATATTTTGATATGTGAGATTATGTAAATAAATAAGTAATATTTATTACGATTTGAATTGTGAAAAAAGCCTAATCATAATACTAGATTTACTACATTTAAGACGATTATTTAAGACAAGTATTTAATTTTTACATTGACTGTTTTGAATAAATAATAATAATTGCACAGACGCAGTTTAATTTTGTAGAACCTCGCAATTATGTTGTAAAAAACCTAATTAGAATATAGTTAGTTGTGATTTTAGGTGTTCCATTTATTATAATAAATCGATATAACCAGTTTGAATATTTATTTGAGAAAAATAATTATATTTCAATTTATTATCATAAATCAATGTCAGCTTGGTTTCACAAAGTTGTAGCTAAAAAAAATATCAATTATATTAGCTAATGTTGGAAACGGAAAAGGTACTTGGAAGAAAAAATGGAATAAACTAAAAGTGAGAAATCCGTTGATATCAAAACACATTTGGTGATATTGAATCAATTGAGATCGATTTAAACAAGTTCAAAAATTTGAATATTGTGTGAAATAAGTCAGTTCACTCCAGTGGTTCTTGTTCTTTCATGTTTATCTTTAAAGATATTGACACATATAAACAGTTAAGAGAGTGTTGACAGTCAAAAATTATTTACATTTGAAATTCTAGAGTAGAGGGGCATTTTATTGATAATATTTTATTGCTCTCTATTTGTATATCTCATACTCTACCATATACTGTTTCCTATTTTATTTTTTTTTTAATAATTTGTCATTTACTAATTTTATTAGGGAAATTTTGTCATTTAGTATATTTTTATTATTTGTATTTTTCTTTTCTTTTGTTTCAAGCTGCCAATGAAAGTAAGTATTAATCTTGCTTCATTCCGAACAAAGTTTAATAAAAACAATGAAAATATATTTTCTAATTAATATTAAAAACAAATGACATTTCTATAAATACACAGCAACTTATAATGCTTTGTTATCCTTTGAAACACTAGTTTTTATTTTATTAATTAATAGTAACATGTTTCTGACTTGTATAATTATAACCAAGAGCATATTTTATTTTTTATTTTTGAAATTGCTTCGTTTTCATAAGCTTTTAAACATTTATTTTTCTGCATTATATAAATAAATTTATAGACTTATAGCAGCACAGTATTACAGTTTTAGCTAAATTATAATAAGCGCATATAGACAAATAAAATCCTTCCAATGTATTCTAGATAATCGTCCACATATTAATTAGCTTTCAATAAATAAGAAATTGTTTATAATGAAACTAAGTTATATCCGCTTCATTAGCAGAAAAAAATCTTCAACATTTCTAACAAAATAATTAAAATAATTAATAAAAGTTTTTTAAAGTTCAAATTATATCGAATTCAAATCGAAAAATTTGTTCAGAACTGAACTAAATTAAAAATTAATTAATTACTTAAGTGTATAAATCAGGATTACAAAATACACTTACTCCTTTGTTACTGTTTCTTTAATTGTAAAAATGAATTAATAATTAATTGTTGTTTTAATTAAATTGTCAATTAATTTTAAATTAATTAATTGAATTATTAGCAAATTCTATTAATATTACTTGTGACCAAATTAGTTACTTACTTACATAAATATCTACATATACTCTTATCCAGTCAAGGCGCAAAGAGGGGTTTTGTAGAAACCTCGCAGTTAATAGAGAGTAAAAGTGCTCAGGTGCACTGACTCAACTCAACTAGCCTCAACATATATATACTCTTATACTTACATAATTACAAAAATATTAGACCAAATGTAATAAAATAATTTTGTTTCTATTAATGTATTTGTGTCAGCAAAAGCGGTGTAAAAGAAGAAGAAGAAGTACCATTATAAATGTCAAAGAAAATGATGTAGTCTTAAGATCATTCACTACCGTAATTAAGACGGTTTTCGAAAAGGATTAAAATTAAAAAGAAATAAATTAAATTTTCAAAAATTGAACTGAATTAAAATTAATTAATTAATTAACGGTAAGGTTTGTTACTATAAAGTGAACTTGTTTCTTTGTTATTATTTTTATAAAGTTTAAATATACAAAAATAAATAGGAAATAATAAATATAATACTCAATACTTACTTATATTTATATATGCGCATGCACGCACATATACAATACAACAATAGCGAAATAATAACAGAAACAATCAATATTTAAAGAAGAAGCTAAAGAACAATAAAAGTATTTCTTTTAGAAAACTCCATAAATCATTTTTAATTTTGATATTTTAAAATAAATAATAATTAGCTTTTATGAATCATTTTTAATCTTAAAATCACTTTCTGTACGGTTTTTAATATATCCGATATTCCGATATTTGGCACTAGATCTCTATGCACTTTCTATAATTTATAAAATTTAATTCTAATAGAAATATTCTAAATTTATAAAAATAAATAATAATTATAAAACAATATCTCTTCCGATATATAACACAAGTTTGTTAATAACAAATAATACTGATCTAAAACAATAGAACCTTTAGGTCTTCAGTTAAATAATCACCAATATTACCATCGCCCTATCGGTTGCAGTGAATTCTAATTTTTCGTTATGATCTAATCTAACATACCTAACCTTTATTAAATATTAGAAGAATAAATAATATATATTAAAGTGAAGAACTTGCTTATGAAAAATGAAGTTAAGCTAATATAGTTATTATAGTTCTGCGTAGCGCTTAGCTCTATTTACGAATCGTATTTATGTTTAGATAAAAAAATTTTTTAACAACAACAGAAATTTCACTTATACTCTATTTATTTGTTTACAGGGTATGCCAGAAGCATGGGCTCGCTTGCTTATGAATTCAAACATAAGCAAACAGGAACAAAAGAAAAATCCACAAGCTGTGTTAGATGTTCTCAAGTGGTATGATAATACAACCAAGCAGAGAGCAAGTTCAAAATACATGACAAATGCTATAACAACGCATTCTGGTAATATAACCGCACATATCTTTTTAATTATTTATATTGTGCATTATTAACGACTGTTTACAGGTTCTTCACTATCGCACGTTAGCAGCAGCAGTCCTAGTAGCACACCAACTGATTCAGAGTTACATGGTTCCAACAGTGGAGGTAATTTGATTGGTGTCAACATAAATAATCTTACTTTAGGCAATAATGCCAATAATATACCAGCAACTGGTGGCGTTGGTAGCCCTCATATCGGTAATAATTATGGAAATCATCATCATACCGCACTTAGTCAATCACATTCATATAATTTTGTTGGTGGCAATACAGCCTCCTCTTCATCACAACATTCGTCAGCCAATGAAGATGATATTTTAGGTACACCACAACCGCCACCACCGCCAGTTGCATCACGACCAGAACGCACGAAATCCATTTATACACGACCTATAGAAGAGGTAACACCAACGATACCGCCACCACCTGCTACAACACCTACAACACCACTGCATCAACAATTGCAGCAACAGCATCTTAACAATATAGCGCAACCACAATATAAAGCTCCAACAATAACAACAACCACAACTTTAGATAAGAACAAAAATAACGCAAGTAAATATCGTTTCTTATTATGTAGATTTTCTTTGTATTTTAATTGATATTTATACTAACGTTAATATTATTAATTATTGTATAACGTATTTTGCTAACAATAACGACAATTTTATTGTTGCATCGTCTGCAGCAGCAGCAACAGCATCATGTGTTGTCTCTGCGCCGCAACCGCATCCGCACGCTTTTAACGCCGCAGCAACTGCTGCAGCAGATTCCATTTGTACCATACCTAATATTACTACCACTACTAACTATGACACAACTAACTTCACTCTTACTACTACTACTACTACGACTACTACCACTACTAATAATTCTACTACTAGTATTCATTTGCAATTTATCGATTTTAATGCAACGACGA